CCCTGCCCATGGTGGGGAGAGAGCTGCTCCAGCCCCCACAGGTTAATCAGTACTCAAACACCCGCTAAAGGTGATGCTCACCGGTTTAATCTTTCACATCCTTATTACAGACTGTCTCCTTATAAGCACTTTTCTTTTTTCATGATATGAAGTATCTAACTAGAGTAAGAGATGAGAACTCAACTATGTTGGACCCTTTTCCTGGAATACTGAAGTATTAGCCATTATTTGTGGCTATGGCACATTGTAGTAATAGTGTTTTAAATGCAGATTAAGACATTCTTTCCCCCAAAAGTTATGCTACAGTGTTTTGCTAGAAATGTATATAATTAGCAATTAATTGTTTTGCAACTTTTTACTGTTACAACATGTGAACCTTCTAAAGTCCTCCAACAGAAAGGAAAAGGTTCAATATACTACTGAATTCTCTTTCACTCTTAGGTCTCACATTTCAAAGGGATCTAGAATGGCAGAGTGCCACAAAAATACTAAATATCCAATTATATCAAACTTGTTCAGAAATCTTAATCCTTAAACACCTCTAGGAGATAGGTAAGTATTACTCCCCTTTTACAGATGAGAACACTGAGGAACAGAGTAGTAACTCATCCAGAACTTCCATGCCAATTGAAGGGCTAGCTTATACAAATAATTTATATTTACTGGCAGAAATACACCATTATAACTATCCACATAAGGGATGTAAAAATCTCGTTTAATTTGTGAACCGGTTAAACATTAAGTTTAAAATCCTTACTACCCCAAACAATATCAAAATTCTATAACTTACAAAGAACTCAATAGACCCGCCTTGGAAGGACAAATAATCTGTGGTTTCAAGGGTTCTAGATGCATCAAACCTATTCAGAGCCAAAAAGATCCCTCATTAACCACTAAATAAATGTAATGTTTATAAGCAGCTAATGCCTCTCAAAACTAAATTTAGTTTTCAGTATACAGAGTATTTATTGTTCAACTATTTCAAAAGGCTCGTTCTCTGCCACTACTATCCACATTTAACTGGCCATGCTTGTTTCCACCTTGACCCAACAAATTGCTTTTCTTCCCCCTTGTAGAACCGTTCCACTTTCTAATGTGGACCTTGTTTTAAATTTACCCTGAACTATGGAGAGATGTGGATCTACAGAATATTGAGATCTGTAATTGGAAATATACTGCTTTCATTTAGATAGATTCCAAAGCTCTTTATGTTTTTCCAATTAGTAATGTTCATAAATGCAAGAGAACTGTTAATGCCACACAGCTAAATCTAAAAGAAAGAAACAAAGTTTAAAGTTTCTACAGCAATGTTAACACTTACACATTGCACAAAAATAGGAGTCGTTCCTGATTTTTTAATTTATTTTTTTAATTTAAGCTGCATAACATTAGCACATAAAAACAAACTAAAGAACATTGTTGCATTGTAAAAGAAATAGAGAAATTATATGGGTAGGCAGCTTCCTAAAGGCACAGCTATGTTTCTGATAAGTACATCAGAATTGACTGTGAAGCACCTACTCCTTTAACTGCACTAATCTGGCATTTCACGGAGTATACATTTAATAAAGACATTAGTGTGGTGCTTACCTGACCTGCACAAATGCTTCTATGAAAGCCAGAAGGAAGCAAATTTTAACATTAGCTTTAATAAAAATGTTTAAATTAGATAAAGTACAGACTGAGGAACAAGTCTGAGAATAGTGCTTAAATTATCCAAAAGTATAAAGGCTGATTTAAAAGAAAGATTATTACACATGTTCCTGTCCATGTGCTGAAAGTGTTTGAACAGTAGTCTATGAACTTCTCATTGGCCAGGGAAATGGCAGCAGACTTCCATTGCGAAGAGGAGAGAGACCTGATCTCTGAACAAAAGAGAAGTAGCCGCCTAAAGGTTGATCTTCATATATCTTGTGTATATAGGTAAAAAATGTATGTTTTTTGATCTCGCACACAAAAAAGCAAAAAAAAAACACACATTCCATCCCCCCAAAACGTATCTTAGTTGCACAGACAGTCCAATTTCTCTATTTCAAATTCCCAGGATATAGTGGCATCCGTGCATTCTGAACTCAAAACCAAAGGGAAATTTTGAAATGACTGCCTGGCTGAATTGTGTGTTCAAATAAAATAATTTTATGAAAAGCATTCACTCTTCTTGAATTGCGACTCCCTCCTGTAATGCATAACTCTAGATTTAACATTTTGTAATGAGCAATGTGTAAATGGACATTAACTTTTCTAAATTAAAACCAATTTTTTTGGTCAAGATGTCCTTCCCAACATCTGGTTAGAAAATTTAAAAAATGGGCTGGAGCACAAGTACCAGCTCACCCCGCTGCAAGGGTTGAGGGGTGAGTCTCATAGACCATATCAAGGCAAGCTACATTCAGTCCATGGGCTCCACCTCGCAGATGGGAGGAAGCGGTTCTTGAAATAGCAGCACAGAGGAAGCTGTGTCCCTGCACTCACTTGAAGCCTCCACCATCACCACTTCCAACGGCCACATTTCCCAGTCAGTGGGAGCAACTGGGGTGGAGCCTGCAAGTTCAGGGAAGTGTGGAGCCACCTGTGGGAGCTCCCTAGCCTCCGGAGCCACACCATGCTAGTGCCCCAATCCCCTGCCTCCTCTCCTCCAGAAATCCCACCCCAAGCCACTTCAACTTGCCTTCCACCCAGACCCTCAACCCTGTTCCTCAGCACTCCTCTTGCACACAATGAACCCTTCATTTTGGCCTCACCCCAGAACCCAGGGCTCCCCCACAAAATTTATAGCCCCAGGCTCCCAGAAGAGTTAATCTGGCCCTGAAGATAAGCCCTTAGTCTCACCCTTCCCCATGGGGCTGGAACATGAGAGGAGTGTTTCTCTCCCCCCCCCCCTTGTTTTTACAGTTAGAAGTCACATCTGTAAGGTTTTTTCCTCCTCCTTACTTGGAGGCCTGGTTAGGTTTAGTTTGGTTGCCCCTCCCCCCGCTCATTTGTGCGCCACCCCTGGCCCCCCCCCCCACACAAAAGTTTCCACCTCCTAATTTAGTAGATGTTAGCAAACTGCTCTCCCATCTAGTCTGGTAAATCAATGGGAGAGTTTCAACCCAGCATGGTAGAGACACCACAATAAGTCAACTCCATCAACTCCAGTGGCTACATTATTCATATTCACATAGCTGGAGTAAGGATGTTAAGAGGTGGGTAATTGATCAATTGTGTAGTCAATACAAATTGTATTGACTACACAATTAGTTGATAAGGGAAGGAGCTCTGTACTGGCTCACGTGGACGGGGTACCTACCCCGTTGCAGCTCTGCAGTTTAAATGTAGCAGGAGGCTGTGTGCCCAGCTCCTACTACATTTAAACTACAAAGCCACAGTGGGGATAGGTCCCTGACCAGCATAAGCCAGGACAGAGCTGGGACCACTGCGGGTCTGCATTTCAAATACAGTATAGTAAGAGCTGCTTGGCTCAAATGCAGAGCCCCAGCAGTCCCCAACTGGCATGAAACAGGACTGAGCTGGGCTCCCCACGGGGTCCAGCAGCCCATTTCACAGGTATAGAGGCTGGGGAGGGGGAGTGAGAATAGTCCACTCAACTACTCATAATATCACTAAGATGGAGTTGTGTACTTAGGTCAACTTACTGTAGAACTGGCCTAAATGATTGTTTTTCTACTAGGATGTCTGTGCTGTGATTTACGCATTAAATTCCAACCTAAAAAAAAAATTAAAATGCTATCTTAAGGAAAGCTTTGATGCCAATATGGGAAAGGTGCCAGTAACTCTATGAAATCCATTAGGAACTCCGCTATTGATTTTATGACTGCGATAGGTGACAACAAAAAAAGTGATGGTAGATGCCACTGAATGAAATTAGAAAATATCTGGGATGGGGGAAAAAAAACACTCTGATTAACAGTTTATTTCAGGATATTAACATGCCACACCCACCTACAATGACTGAAATATATCATTGCTCAATAGTAACAGTGTTGTAGATGAGAAAAAGTTCCAAGACAATTTGATATGGAGAAATAAAACTCTTACATCAGCAACATGTTCATTTACGAAGACTCTCTAGTTCTTCATTATTCTGTATAGGTAGGTAGTTAGCACGTCCCTCTATCCTATTCATCTTCCATCCCATCGAACAGCAGTAAGACATACCCCGAGACTTCCTCCTCCTCCAACTCAGGAACGACCCCTTCAAAAACACTCTACATTCCAGGCACAGCCAGGCTGTATGAAACTTTTCCTTTCATCGGGGGAGCGCTCCCGCATGATAAAAGGGCTAAAACTCAGCCCTCCCGCCATCCCATGTCCCTCTCCTCTCGCCCCAGCAGCCTTAATCAGACCCCCACAAAACCCTACGACCCGCTCATTTTTCTTAACGAAATCGTTGTGCACCGGCACCAACCCCTCACGCATCATGCTCCCAGCAGAGGCACGGGGAGCGCGCCCCACGGCCCCCAATCCGGGCACCCGCAATCCGCTTCCCAATCCTCACAGTCAGGCTACTTACGGATCCAGGCCGCTCCAACCACCATAATCAGACCCCCACAAAACCCTACGACCCGCTCATTTTTCTTAACGAAATCGTTGTGCACCGGCACCAACCCCTCACGCATCATGCTCCCAGCAGAGGCACGGGGAGCGCGCCCCACGGCCCCCAATCCGGGCACCCGCAATCCGCTTCCCAATCCTCACAGTCAGGCTACTTACGGATCCAGGCCGCTCCAACCACCATCCAAGCCTAGCCAGGCCCTCCATCCTTCCCTTCCAAACCTCCAGCCTGCTCCTCATTCCCAGGCCATTAAGGGCCCCGGCCCGATCCAGAACCGTAGCACCAAAGGCCCCCCCCACCACACACCGCCAAGCCCCCTCCTCGCTGGGGCCACAGCTCCCAGCCCGGGCGGCAAGGGCCCCATAACTCCTCCGCGGCGCGTGCGGGTGACAACGCCAAACGCAGGCCTCGAGGGGCCGAGAGGAGGCGGCTCCGTTTCACTCACGCTCTCGTGGTCCCACCGCACGTTGCTGCGCTTCTCATCGGGGGCCAGGTTCCTGTCCCGGCCCATGAGCTCGTCGAGGAGCTGGGCGGCCGATATCATCGTGACCTGCTGCCCGGGTGGCCCCCTGCCAAGCACCGCCGACTTCGCTCGTTCCCGCCCGCCCTTCCCCCGACCGTCCGCGCGCGCCGC